TCTGCATACGAGGTAGGCCACATGATAGTTAACTAAGCAAAAAATCACATAAGGTTGGCACTCTCCAGCTCTACTTTCACCTCGACGATGAACACAACTGACATTCACGAACTTACGTAGTACAATCAGACCTAGCAAAGCACCCCCCTCTACAAATTGTCATTTGCCCCTAATGTAGAGTCAGCTGTCCTTTTAATACTTAATAGAGCTATGCTAGCCCATGATGAAGAGGTGATGAGGGCCCCATAGAGTGATATGGTATTACCCCTTCGTTGTGTCATACTTTTCGAGCCAATGATCCTTAGCTAGTGTATTATTTGAAATACAAAGAAAGACATCTCCTCCTCGTCATTGACCTCTAACCACAATACCCACAATCCCACCATTAGACACCATCCATTGGGGGTTATCTAAGTGTAAGTGTTATATCCTAAATTCAATTAACTTTGGACATAAACGCTTTTAATATATAATTAATGTATATTTATAGCAAGATCTATTATTTAATTAAATTATTGTTTTGATATATTAAATAATAGAATNCTTTAAATATATATAATTGATACATGTATGGCAATATCTATTATTTAATCGAATTAATATTCTAACAAATTAAATAATAGAATCCGTAGATTCAAATCTTGGTGATATGTTAATCACAAGGAGTTGTGATTGTGGGATAAAAATTACATATGACTGAATCTTAAAATCGTCCGTGATCATAAGTAATAACGAGATATGAATATCATTATTATGGATAGACCATCACATGTAGCATTGCTTACTTTTGAAGTAAGTAACTGATCTCACAAGTTAAAGTGTGATGACACATGAGTGTTTTGTTATAGAACAAAATATTGGAGACCCCCTGATCAAATTCTACATTGATAACTATTTGAGTGTCGATAGTTAATCTCTAACGTTCGGTAATGAAATTGGTCATTTGACTTGAAGTCATCATGGTGTCTTATATGAGAACAATCATACTTTAGTAATGTTCAATATTGCTCTACCAAAGGTCAGTAATACAACATCGTTCAATTAAGTCAAGAATTAAATGAATGTTGTGAATGATCAATAGATGATCCGTCGTTCTTAAATAGTAAGAGATTATGATCTACATGTAATTCAATTAAATTAATAATGAAATCCATTGATAATGTTACTCATAAGTTGAAAGGGAGTTTTCGACTTACACTGACTTAATAGTGGGATGAAAGATATGATTGATAATTGAAATTGACACTTATTCATATCTCGTAATTGATCGGATCATATTAACGAATTGATTATAATTTCACGGTGAACGAACAAGATTGATTTTATCATACCACATGATATTTTCCGTCACATGTATTATCCGACATATTGCTAGATGTCAATTTAGGACGACGAACGTGAATTGATGATAAATTAAAATGGATATTTTAATTTATCGATTTTGATTAGATGAAAATAATAATTCACGTCGTTAGATATCGTGATCGGGAATCTGATGGATCACACACAAAAGGAGAACCAGAAGGATGAAATTCTAATTAATTAATTGACAAGTGTTGTACAATTAATTAATTGAGTTGCTTGTTAATATACCCGAATTAATTAATTGGATTAATTAAATATTGGACATGGTTAAATTTAGGAAACGAGTCAAACTCACTTGAACTTATATTATAATAAGCCATTAGCGTTTCAGAAAAATTGAAGAGAATATAATTCATTATATTGCTAGCACAACAAAAGAAAAAACATAATTCTCTCATTCTTATTCCTTGTGTGAATTTTCATTGGAGACTGGACAGTTATGAATTGCAAATCGTGATTGTTCGAGTTCTAAGATCAATAAAAAAAGTTTGCAGAATTTACAAAAATGTATTATTCTAAACACAGTTTCTATCTAAACACAAAGCAAATATATGATGAGTTTTGAAAAATAATTTATTTCCACTATCCATGATTAAGTAAATTCTCAACACTAAGTTGGTGCTAAGTTGTAAGACCTCAAACGTTCACGACTCATATAAATATTAAACTTGAACTTGCTGGGCTACTCACACTCACGCAATGTCACCTTCTACATATGCAACAAGTGGTTCGTTACTCCATCACCTCATTACCTTGGAACTTAGACTTACAGTGATCAAGCTATAATGAATGTCACCTTGTCACTTGTTGCATGGTTCAGAGGTTCATCCACATTTCAGAGACAACTCATAAGCCATCACGTAACCCCCCGAATTTTAATTACTATTTTCATATGGGTTTAAATTTAATGTTGGTCATTTAGCAAATGAAATAGTCCATATTTCAACCCACTTATTTGCATAAATAATTTATTTTCTTATATGTATTTTTATAAAAATTATTGTAAATTTTGTTTGGGTTGAATATTTAAATATTATAGAATTTGACAAAATATATAAATTGTTTACTTATTTTGTAGCTCGTATAAAATAACATAAATTGAATAAACTTGAACTAGTTACATCTTAATTATTGTGATAGAAAGAAAATTTTATTATTTTAATATTTTATGTATAAAAGAAAACAAATGGTAGAGGAATCGTTAAGATACGATTATTTTGGGAAATTGAAATGGTTTAGTATATTGTCATCAATTAAACGTAATTATCATATTAATTTTGAAAACAACTAAATTAGTTAACCTTATAAATTCTTAGTTAAATGTGAAATGCATATGATTTTCAAATATTTAATATGAAAGGCGTGATTTAAGTTACAGGTGTGAGAATTTCATATATGTTTTATCCCCAGTGTGGTGATGAAAACACAGTCTAGGTGGCTGTAAATGATAGGTGAAATGAAAGGTAAAATTAAATGAC